GCTAGTGGAGGCGGCGCGGGTGAGTGAGAAGCTGATTGGGTAGATGAAAGAGTGGGTTTCGAAGTGCAGAGACCCATTCGGTTATTGTTCTTGTTGTTGCTCCCCGCGACGAAGACACCCGCTGTGGTGGTTCGAGGTCAAAGCATTGCATGTAATAATGGTAAGGATGAGGTTGAATTGAGAAGCTCTTTCTTTCTCGGGAGATCTTAAAGAGTGAAATTGGAAACGTGGAGTTTGCGAGAGTTAAGGTTGGTTGGGTTCGTTGATCGTGGAGAGTGTGTTTAACAATGGTGGGGACTGGAGTGTGAGAGAGAAGAATGTGAAAGAAAGAGAGTTAAGTACAAAAACTGAAATGCCCAAAGTTTCGGTTTTTTTGGTCATTCATGAATTATGATCAAGTTAAGGCAATACTCTTCATTAATGTACAGTTTGTGATCAATGATTCCATGGATTTTCATTGGAATGTGGAAAGTAAATTCTCGAGATAAATTTGTGGGTTGAATTATTTCTAGTTCAAATTTAAAATTATTTTTTAAATTCTCATTAATATATATATATATATATGATTACCAATAATATAAATTGATTGTTTAATATTAGTTAACATTAATGTGATGTTTTAGTGAGTTTTGAATGATAAATAGGTAAATATTATGATGGAAAAGTAAGACACATTTTTCACTATGAAATAAAACGTTAAGATAACAAGATATTTTTAATTTTGATATGGTTGTAATTTTTTTTTTTTTTTTTCATTTTTGATATATTTCCTTCTTCATATCATCTTTTGCTTTTCTTTTCTTTCCATCAAAACCTACACAAACTTTAAACATGTCATCAACGTTATTAACTAACGACACGACCCTTTGAGGCTTTAAGTAACAAACATGAGTGACTTCGTGTAGGTAATGCGTAGTAGGTGCCTTTGACGTTTCAATTTGTAGATTTGGTTTCTTTCAATGAGTTAGTGATTTTAGACTTTGAGAGGTTCACAAGTTGTTGTTTGATTTTTTTTATTTGGTTTGTTGTATGAGTGTTGGATTGATTATGTTGCTGGGATGTTGAGAGTGTGGAGTTTGTTATCCTGGATTTGCTGCGTAGGTGTGTGAAATTTGTAGGCCTGGAGAAGAAAAAAGGGAGAGAAAAAAAAGGAGAAGAAAGAAAGAAAAGATGGTAAAAAATACTCTCGATGATGAAGCATGGTAGTTGGAGAGAAGGAAAACGGAAGAAGAGAAAAAAAAATTAAATATATATATATAAATAAAGCCAATGGAAATCACTTCCCAATGACAATGCATGGTGGTTAAGGAGCTGTTTCCAACTAGAAAGAGTTATAGAAGTATGATACATTGGAAAAAGGGAAAGATAAAGAGAAAATTAAAAAAATCAACCATATATTAAAATTCAATTGATCTATTCACTTTAAATTTGTTTTCCATGGTAACTTGGTAAGGGGCATGACATCTTAGCACCCACTTAACAAATATAATAATAGGTAAATTTTGTGTGACAGGTAAATTATCAAAAATTTCTTAAAAGTTATCTGATTTTTTAAAAACTATAAAATTAAATTTATCTTAAATTTAAATGATTAAAAAATATTTAATCTAATGTTGGAATATGAAATTATAAAAAGAAAAAGTTACATCAAACAATCATAGTCAATTTGGATATACATAGTGGAGAATATATGTGGTATATATAAAAAATATAATATAAAATTATAAAAGGATAACACTTCTCATTAACCCTAGTAATAGTTATAGGAACTGTGTTTTTTTTTCCCTCTCACTTTTATTAACCAGGTGATTTTGGCCTTTATGCATTACAGTTGAATTTTTTTGAATATTATAATTGTATTTTTTTTTTAATTGTTAACCTTTCATTAACTATATAATATATTTTATTAACGTCTCATCAGTAATTATGTCACAATTGATGTGTTGTCTATAAATATATTAGTATTATGTAATTGTATTTTAAGTTTTTTACTATTAAAATAGATGCATTAGAATCTAAGTTTGATATTTGTTGTTATTATTGTAATTTTTTTATTGACTAAAAAAATATAATAGCACAATTAAGATATATTTATTGTTAATAACATATATCTGAACTTAATTAAAATATACTAACAATATACAGATTTTTTTTTATACTGTCGTTTAATCATGAATTATAATGTATGATAATACATTGAATTTTCATAATAACTTCTTTAAGGATCAAATTCAAAGTCATTATAATTAGTTGATAATGTAAGAAAAAAATATTTTAGAAGTGATTAAATTACCAACATATTGTAATGTGGTTGGTATCAAAAGATATTCCCTTAATAATAGACATCACCTTGAATAATTAGTTCTTAACATTCAATCAAGTCAAAATGAACTTCACGTATTTTTTTATCAAATTTTTTTATTTTCTAGGATAAGTTTTTAATTTATTATGAGATAAATTAATGTTTTCAAAACTAAACTAGATATTGAATTAATAACTGTTGGAGTTGTAATAGAACTTGGAGTAGATGAATGAAAAATTAAATTTAATAATCATTATCATCACTTAAATCTTTTTTGTTGATTAAAAAATAAACTAGTTATTAAACTAATTAATATATTACTTCTTTAATTATTTAATTATGATTGAATTGATATTAATAAAATAATTGTAATAATTAAAAATATAATAAAAAACAACATCATACCTTTATAGTATTATAAAAAATAAAAATAAAAACATATTTTTTAAGTTTTTAACATTTAAAGTATCCACAAAAATATAAATTAGATATATCAACACATTTAAGTATAGGTTTTAAAAATATGGTTAATGATAACACGTTTACATCTGACAAAAAAAATTATATTAATTTCCATTATTTTGAGATAAAATATAGAACATCAAATTAAGCATTTTTTTTTTCCTTCTAACCTACCATAAGCTAATTCTTTTCTATCGGTTTAAGGTCAATTCTATAATTTAATGGACTAATTCTAATTCTATAAGCTATTGATATAAGCAAATTTTATCTATGTAAGAATCTCAATCTCAATTAAAATACTAGTATACAGAGTTAATGATGATTTGGTATTTGTGCATTGCAAACTTTGATTTAGAAAATATAAATTTAGTTTCATAAATAAATAATACATTTGACATAATCATAACTAAATTATTTGAGGTATGAAACCACGACTTAAATAAAAATAAAAACACTAGTTTTCTGCTGAACATAATTTGTACGAATTCGTGTAAAATAAACTTACTATACAATCAATCAAATAGTAACACATTGTTTGTCAAATTTTCATACTGTTTAGCATTGGTGTTGTAAACTATAATGCTGAGTGCTAATAACATACTAATGTAGTTATCTTAATATTTTTATCGATTAAATAAAGTACAAGACTCAATAAATTTTAATGAATAAAAAATATGAAAAATAATACAACATTTTTTTACATAAAATTATTTTTACCTCACCGGATAAAGGGGAGCAAAAAGACACGGATTTGGAAGCTTTCTAACCAATAGGACTTGGATGTCAAATGGTGGGATTACTAGTGACAGGACCACTACTTTTTATGCAAAATAATATTGTCTTCACCCTTTTGTATGCATTTTCATTGAATCTTTATTTTTCGCTCATTTATGTTAAGTAATTTCATCATTAATTATTTAATGTTTTTATTATTTTAATATTTTCTTTGACACATATATAGTCCCGTAAGAACTTTACTTTTCTTTATTTGATTAAAATATTTATAAAAATCCTTAGAAATTGTTAATAGTGAGATTAAGCCTGCCTACTTGTAGATTATTATTAAGATTTTTATCAACTATATTAACTTTCACTATTTAAGGTTATTTCAGAGAAAAAGAAAAATTTTATATCAAGTAGTGTAAATGTCACATGAATAAACTTACTAAATTTTAGGTAGATACTAGAAACAACTCAAACAAATAACAATTATTATAATATAAAAGTGTTTTCATTGACGATGTAACTTAACATCTTCAATGAAATGCGTACCTTTCTTGTCGTTTGGATCTGAGATTCTTTGGAATGAATAACCCTTTTGGTATAAATGCCAAACAGAATAATCCATTCACTCCCGCAGGCCGCTTTCAAAAGTTTCAAGATATAAGTATTTTTATTACAAACCAGAGGATATAATTTTTTAAAATAAAAATAAATAAATTATAAAGTGAATAATTACTTATTCTATAAAAAAAAAAAAAAAAAAGTGGATAGCTAGTGATAAAGAGTAAACGATTTAAGATTAAAATACCTCGACAGAGAAAAAATTATTTAAAATCTTTAAATTTGTTATGAAATTAAAAAAAGGGGTAAAATGATCCATATAAAACAGGAATTAAAGTGATTATTAAAAAGAGTATCATATAAATATTACACACTAGTGAAATTGATATTCTTTTATATTTTATTTAAAATTTTAATAATAAAATAAAATTTAAATTTAAGTAGTGAAAGTAGTTAAAAAATTGAGAATTTGTGTAATTACACGAGTGGTTAATTTCTAATATTATTTTTATTATATAAAAATCTAAAGATAATTTTATTATTTGAAAATATATAAAGAACTTCTATTAAAGTTTAACCTGCTAATGTTGACTTAGTAATAAAAGATTGGATAGTATATACATGATCATACATTCAAATTCTAGGGTTAATATTGTAATTTTGATGAATAATTTTTTTTTATTGAGGTTTAGTATATTATTATGATGATTATTATTATTATTATTATGTTGTGTTATGTTCCCTTTGTGTTTGAATTGGAACTTCATATGAAGACTGAATACAGATTCATCATGTTCTTCTTGCTGCCCACTCACTACGCCATCCACATAATTCAGCTCCCCACGTAAAATGTTCGTCTGCAATTTCATTTTACTTTAAATTAAAAGCACAAAAGTAACATAGCCCACATATCCGACCCGTGCGTGTGTAATTAATGTTTCACCACTTGATGATATGCTAGAAATTATTATTATTTTTTTTTTCTAAATTGTTATTCCGTTGGCACCCAGTGATTACAAGAGGTTAATCGATATTACCATAATTAAGAGGTTGATTAAGGATCAAGTAACATACAATAGAAACTCTTGTCAATTGTCTAATTATTATTAATTACTTACCAATTTAATAGCGACAAGTTACCTTCCGATGAGCACTTCAGCAATGTTGGGACATGAAATCAACCTAGTTAAGAAAATATATGTACGCATATAATTAGAGTATTTGAAACACCATCGTTACATATATTTAGATCACACACACACACAAACTATGATAATTATTGCTAAAATCGTGCCCATTATGATTATGTTATTTGCTACACTTGATTTCTAGTTTTGACTTGTGATTTACATTGATGATGCTGGAAGTTGATGATGACTCTATGCCCATGGCATTTGGCGCCAAATCCTGAGGTAATTATGAGCACTCCATGTATATGCTGGTGTTTTGGAAATAAGTAGAGTCCACAAATTAAAAAAAAAAAATAGTATCTAGATAGAATTCAAATTGGATGAAATAAAGTGCCAAGAGAAAATGAAGACCATTTATCGCGATGTGATATGACTTAAGATGCACATAAACATAACGGACCAAAACTCATTCCTTAATGCAACATTTTTTGATACATAGCTAGTTTTTCCTTGTCACCAATTGACGACATTGTTCAAAAATCACTTTCGTCCTTATCCTTGAAAGAAAGTTGCAACAAATGAGTACTTCTTCTGATTTCCACATTCACGTACGCACCAATCCGTGAATTTTGGTAGATAATGCATATTGAATTATATAAATAAAATAAACTGAAATAGTACATTTATTGTCAAAGGATGGCATTAACATGAACCAGTATTAAAGTTAAATTCAATTTAAAAAGAAGTTGCGGTAATCATGGTACTAAGAATCCAAATTAAAAGACAAAGAAATATTGAATAGAAGTCAAAGAGGGAAGCTCAACGGAAAGTGATGATGGGAGAGTGAGAAAGGCTGAAGATGCATGAAGAAGCTTAAGACATGGTGGTTCACACATTGATGAGTACCTACCTCAGAATTTCGTATGAGAGAGCCCCACTATTGATGCGCATGCTTACCCTCTTTGTCCCCAACAAACAACAAAAGAAACAAAAATTAAATATTTTCGCACCATTTTCTATCTACGTGTCTTTGTCACAGTCATTTTCCTTCCATCCTACCCTAAAGAAATGTGTATTTGAACTGGAAAAGAGAAGATAAAAAGTGAAATGAAAATTGATTCTTAGTCAGTATTCTTCCGATCAATTCCAATTCCAATTCCTTCGTGTGGTAAATAAGCGTCAGAAATTCAAAAACAAGTGACTTGTGAGTTTGATTCTATCGGGTCAAAAAATATCTAAAATATGGACTTAATTAGTTTAGAGCTACCACACAATTTCAATCTACATAATAAACTACAAACCCCTTTTCAATATTATAAAAAAGCTTAAGATCAAACGCTAATCAAATTATATTATACATGAGTATGATTTTTTTTAGCTTAATTACATATTCTGATTTTAATGTTTTACAATTTTATCAATTTTAGTTATCTAACTTTTGAAGTTGTACATTTTTTAATCTAACTTTTAAAATGTTGTATATTTTATCACTCATTAATTGAATGTGTTACATTATCCACTAACCACAACCATAATACTTATCATCAATGTTGTATATAATCATTGACGTCACAAATTAGGTCACATTAATATTTGTATGTCATGTCATTAATTTAATTAATGATCTTAAGTGGTTAATTAATAAAATATGCAAAATATTAAAAATTAGATAATAAAATATATAAATTTAGAAGTTAGATCACAAGATGTACAAAATTGTGAAATTTGGACGATGAACCATGCAACGATTCAATAAAGCCTTTTGTTTTTAAATGAGATCAAGGATTTAAGAGCAAAAAAAAAAAAAAATTAGCTCCCCCTTTGATGAGAGACTTTGCTTCCTCTAACCATTTTTTTTTATATCTTACGCTCATCGTATGTATGATAGGTGCGGGATATAAAAAGATAAGTGCAAAAAGTAATTCTCTTCAAATGATTGGTTGGCCGGTGATTCCCATGACATCCAAATTGGAACCAAGTTTTGGAGTGGCCCTGCCTGAGTGTGAATATCTCATTCTAAAATAAAAGATTGAATGGGCTTACCCGCCCAATGGATTTTTAGTAATTAGTTATTCGTTTTGGGCCTCTAAAAAAATGTTTTGTTTTAGAAAATTAGAAGTAAACTGAGTTTGCTTCTTAAAAAAAATTAAAGAAACTGCTTATTTTTAAAAGTCATAAAAGAAGATCGAATAGAAAAGAAAATCTCCGTTGAAAGTAAATTGAAAAAATAACCCATGCAAGTACGAGTTAAAACTAAAATACCTTGATAGAAAGGAAACAATCGATTATTGATAACAATTAGATCCAAGTATTTTTTTTTTCAAACAATAAGATAGATTAAATCAAATTTTATATAGATAAATCGGGATGAAAACAAAGAAAAAAAAATTCAAAAACCAAAATCAAAATAAATTTATTTTATAAAGACTAAAAATATATTTAAATCATTCTATTTTTCACCTTCACATTTTTTCTTCTTCTATCGTAATAGATCATGTTTTATTAAATGACATAACATGGATGAAGCGTTTACTTATACATGACTGTAAACATAGATTTGTCTATAATATTTGCATGAATTTTTCTAATTATCATCCTTTATACCAATTTTATTAATCCCAAACTCTAGATGTTGTAGTCTAAGGATTTTTACTTGCTCTCTCATCCTTATTATCCTGTACCTCAATATCTTCTTCAATAATAGGAGGAATTTATGTACTGAACCCAACCTTGACAAATTGCTCATGAGTGTTTCAAATTCCATTATGTATATTGGAAGCATCGACAAACAAAAAAAAAATCATCAACAAAGAAATTTATCATGCAAACATATTACAAATTAAAAATTAGAACACAAACCATCCCTAATTCAGAACGCATTTCATTCATAATTCAAAATACAAACCATCCCTAATCATAAATAAAAATTTATGAAACCAATATCAATCAGAACACAGAGCATCTCTAATTAGAAAAATCAAAACACAAACTAGAACAAAAATTATCTCTGATTAGCTAGTTGAAAACACAAACCTCGCAGAGGCTTGGCGGCTGAGGGTCAAGGAGTTGTGGTGGCTTGGAAATTCCATGTGGCAGCTCGTTGAGGCTTGGTGGCTTGGGAAGTTATGGTGGCTCATGGAGAGAAGGGAGGAGAGGTTAAGATTTAGGAGGGTCCTAGTGTCACCATGCCAGGCATGTAATGGCTTGTGGGAGAAGAAAGGAAAAGATGATGAATGAGAATAATGATGACCTAAAAATGAGTTAAGGTTAGGGTTGAAGCATAAGTGGGTAACTTTGTAAAGTCAAGTAACAAAGTGGGTTAGGATTGATGTTTAACTGGAGGAGATAAAATTGAATCTGAGTTGAGTTGGTTTATGGACTTAAGTCCATTTTGATAACTCTATTATTATCTTTTATTCTCTCATCATTATCTTTTTTTCAAACAAAGCATAAATAACAAATTAGGTTATTTATTATAATTGTTCAACAATGAAATAATGTGTTGTTCAACAGAAAAGCATACGACACAAGTAAGCCCAAATTATTGACAACATTTTTGTAATAGGTACATGTCTTTAAATTAAATAAATTAAATATAAACAATTATTTATTAAAATGTTTTTAAGAATTTTATTTAATGAGAGTATTTTTAAATTTTTTTTAATATGATGAGTTTTAGGAATTTTTTTAACTCCTTATTTAAATTAATTTTTATTTATCATATTTATTTATAAATTAAATTTTAATAATTTTAAAATAAATTATTATTAATTAAAAGTATTTTTGAATCACAACATAAATTATTTATCATCAATTTAAAATATAACCTATATGTTTAAAAATATCTATTTATAGAAATCTAAAATATATTTTATATATTCAAATTCTCTTATATATTAAACATGAACAACTATCTTACGGTGAAAACGTTTTTAGGGATTTCTCTTCAGGGAGAACAATTTTAGTTATTTTTCTTCAACCAAAATTTTTTAAAGATTTTTTTAATATTTTTTTTATCATATTTAATTTTTATTTATCATTTTTTAAATTAAATTTAATATTTTTAAACCAAATTATCAATAATTAAAAATAAAGAAATGCACATACTACATACTAATTTAGAAATAAAAATGAGAATAATAAATTAAAAGAGATAAAAAGATAAGAAAATTTCTTTAAAATATTATCTTTAAAGAAAAAGCCGTTAAAAATGTTCTTGTTGAAAAATAATTCTTAAAAATAGTATTGTTCAATTAAATTATTTTAATTTATACAAAAAGGTTATTATTATAATTTATTTTAAAATAATATATAAATTGAAAATAATAGTTTTTCTTTAATAAATTAAAATCATAAGAGGTTACTAAAAATTCCAAAAAAACAAAAAAATACTCCTGTTGAAAAAAACTAACTAAAAAAGTTCTGTTAAAAAAATAGCTAAAGACTTCTTAGTACAGATAATTATACGTATTTAATATATAAAAATTGATAACTAAATAAAAAAATTAAAATTTTCAAAGATAAATTATATATATATATATATATCATCCCACCTCAAATCGCACAACACTTCGATGGGCAAATTAAATATAAATATTGAACAAAACTAAAAGAAGGAAAATAATATAAAAAAAATGGCAAATGAAAACTCTCCCAGAATTGAAGTACCAAAACTATAGGAAAGAGATCAAAATTAAATGTTAATTGATGTAGTCAGGTACGAAAACTATATGAAAGAATGAAATCTAAAATCAATTTAAGGACTTGAGATATTTTTAAGCTAATGGACGGTACCTAGATTATTGTCAAATTTTAGCATTTGGTTCATGTTGAGTAGGAATCAAATCCACCAAAAAATTGAAGAATGGAAAATAATCAAGTTGAGTGAGGAAGAGAACCGACCAAAACCAGTTTACACGAAGGACAAGTGGTGGCTGAATTCATCGGATTGTGGCGAGAAAAATGAAAAATTGAGATGACTCATAGGATATTTCTGGTAAAATAATTTGCATAAAACGAAAGGATCACGATGAAAGAAAAATAATCATGTTTGAAATATTTTACATATTTGGGTTCCAAGTTGAAATAATTTTAGGTCCAAAATGATTAGAGTTAAAAATTTAATACTTGATTTCACTATATATGAGCTTATTTTTATATAATATTTTTAAATATAAATATATTATCTTAAAATAATTTTAATGGATGCTCTACTACTTACAAAAAATTAAAATGTTTGAATTTAAAAATGTTAAAGTAGATTAAAACCAATAAGTAAATTCGATTTATCACGAATTTGAGCTGAATTAAACAATTTTTTTTTTGTCTTATATCAATTATAATGAAAATTTGGTTCAACTTACTTACAACTCGATTTGCATGAGTCAATTCATAGTGAGTTGGATTGATTCACGAGTTGACTCACCTAATATATTTTTATTATATTTTTTGTTTTCAAATGTTAATTTATTTGATTATACTATTATATCATTGACTAAATTTTGTGCATTAGTCGTGAATTATTATAATTAGTATCAATTTAATACTTTTTGTTAGTATTTTATGTATCAACTTTAATTTTATAAGTTGATTAAGTTAGTTGTGGATGGTATCTAATTTATTTTTTATATTTTATTTGTCCTATTTGTTATCATAGTTATAATTCTAAAATATAAGATTATAATATATTTTATATAAAATTTAATATATATTTTTTAATTAAATTAAATTAACTCATTTAACCCACCAATCCGTGATAAATTAAGTCGGATTGATTTCTTTTAAACTTGTTGAACCGGATTGATTCACTTATAATCCAATCTATGGTGGACCGGATTAGATTATCCACTTTCACAGTTATATTTGGATTATGATGGACCAAAATGAGACTCATGTAAAATAGATATATGGATTAAAGACATCAAGAATTTGTTTTCAAAGATGAGTGAATTGATGTCAGTTTTCTTTTTTTGTTTTTTTAACTCCGAATTGATAAGTTCGTTTTTTTTTTCCTAAATAAATTGATAAATTAACTTACTAATCCGTGATAAATTAAGTCGGATTGATTTCTTTTAAACTTGTATTGAACCAGATTGATTCACTTATAATCCAATCTATGGTGGACCGGATTGGATTATCCACTTTCACAGTTATATTTGGATTATGATAGACCAAAATGAGACTCATGTAAAATAGATATATGGATTAAAGACATCAAGAATTTGTTTTGAAAGATGAGTGAATTGATGTCAGTTTTCTTTTTTTGTTTTTTTAACTCTGAATTGATAAGTTGTTTTTTTTTTCCCTGAATGAATTGATAAATTAGTTATTATTTTATTTATCTGCAGTTTGTGATAATATAAAAATTGGTTTAAAATGGCGAAAAGAAGAGTATGACAATCAGATAAAGTAAATATATATTTATCTATAATGTGCTTCAAATTTTCATTCTTTACTGTCAAATTGTTCCGCAAACTCTTCCGGTTATAATTGAATTATAAAGATAAACTCTTTCTTGATAAGAGATTAAATCACATTATCTTTACACTATGATCATATTTTCTTATTATCATTATGTTTTTATATTTTTCATTTTCTTGTTATTTAAAGACCGGACCCTTTCACTCTCACACACTATTCTTTTATTTTTAAAGAACTCTCTTCAGTAATTTCACAACTATATTTTCTCTTTTTCAACTCTCAAGCTGATTTCCTTTCACCATCATGAGGGACATGAAAACTTTACAAAAATTAGTGGCAAGTGATCCAGAGACGCTTCAAATGATGTCTGGCAAACCTTATGAGCCTAAATTTATGGATTTGTTGCTGTTGCAATGTGCACCACACTTTTACACTGAAGAACAGAAGGCTCAAATAAACCATTTTAAACAAAATTCAAGCGTTGAATCAAGATCAGAGACAAAGAATACTGCCGAGAAGAGGTACGTAATTGTAACTCAATTTATTGTGTAGTTTATATACTATAGTAAATATATTAAATACATGTTGACTCTTGTGCATGCATGCAGAAAAATTGAAGAGATATCTGAAGAGGAAAGCGATACGTCAATGAATAAAAAACCAAGACAGGAAATAAACTATTCATCACCAGATTTGCCTACAAAATTCAAGAATCGATTTCCTGAGTTGAACAATGATGATTTTAAATTCCTTTTGAGCAAAAAACTCTATTCCTCAGATGTAGATCCTAATAAGAATCGTTTGTCGATGCCAGAAAATGAAATTGCATGTGATTTCCTTACAGAAGCTGAGGTTACAAAATTGTGTGAAAGAACTGAAAGTAACAATTTTGTTGGTGTAGAAGTAACCGTTTTGGACCCATGTCTCAGAGAATTTACTATCTTATTGAAGAGGTGGAAGATGAGGAGTACTTATACATACAACCTTTCAGCACGTTGGAAACATATTGTATCTGCTAATAAGTTCGAACAAGATCAAGAACTCGAAATATGGACTTGTAGGGCGAATAACAAGCTATATTTTCTATTAGAAAATGTTTAAAATTAATGTTATATAGTTTTTCATTAATTTCTTCCATAGTAGCAACAGTCTGAGTAGTTTCCAGGAATTCTTTTTAAATTTCTTTGATGTATGGTGTTTTTCACATTAATAAAGTTCAGATATTTGATTTAACGCGCGAATGCTCTTCTATCAAACCCGTTGAAGTCAGCGAAAAGAACTCTCATTAATCATTAGCATGTATATGATCTAGTTATGACGTCGACTCTATTCTTTTGAGAAATTCAATTTCTTAATTATGCATGATTCTCGACCATTAATGAAGCGCATTGTTAGTATTTTGAGTCATGATTAATTGCTTCTCAGGACTCTCTCTACACACACTGCACATTTGGTCTTAACACTAAGATATTTGGGGAAAACTTATAATTAAACAACCTAAAAGAATGTTAATTAATATTAGGTTTTCATGGTCACATGCACTTGTTATAATTGGTTACAAGAGAATTGTCTGTTTAGAGAGGTCTTACAACCATACATAACTACCGTCTAAGTTGCCTGTTTGTTAATTTTAATTTCATACTACAAATGATGACATGACATGTTTTAATATTCTTAATACGGAAGTGGTAAACTTATACTATTTTCATTCATTTATATCTTATTTCTATGAAATTCTTAATACTAACTAACATTTGATAGTAAAAACTAGTTGGATACATTGTTGAAACAAACAACCAGGCCCTTAGAATATTATTATAATTCAGTTTGGATACGAGTTAGAAGCATTTTTTAAAATTTTTCTATTCAAAATAAAGAGTATTTTTAGTAGAGAAACTCTTAAAAATACTTCTAAACTTATATCTAAGCAGAGTCTATAAAATACAATTGTAAAATACAAGTCACTAAAGGATAGGATATATCTAGTTCACGACCCTACAGTTTGTCCTTATTTGCCCTTGTTGTCCTGTGAGTGCACCTATGCGACCCATTTTCTCCATTGATACGGCAAAGTCTCTAAAGAACAAATTAGGCCACTTGCTATAGTTGTTCACCAATGAAGCAGTTGTGCTGTCCCCCAAAAGAGCCTGGTCTGACTCAAGTAACCCTGAATTGTTCACAACATTTTTGTAATACATGTTATCAAATGTGTTGGTGGTCACAGCATCCAAGGGAGCCAAATTGGTGTCAGAATCAACTTGATTTGGACACTGTTTCTGTAAATTTTCTAGGAGTGAGGCATCAAGTGTTGGATCAGATTTTCCAGATCCATCAAAGTCAAAGAGCCTTGGTTTGAATGTAGAGCATTGAGCAAATCCAAAGGTGTGAGCACCTACATTAGTTACATAGACATTAGACATATATAAACGTGAATTGGAAGAAGCATTAGCAAATTACCTGAGAGTATTGCTACATCTTTCTTTTCAAGACCCTTGGATACAAACTTTGCAGTAATGTTTTCTAGAGGCTCAAAGGGTGATGGCAAGTTATTTGCCTCGCTCTCACTTGCTGTTGTACCATCTCTACGACCAAGAGGCACAGACCAAAATGGCCCTTTGCTCTGAAAAAATTACCAATGGTTTCAATATATATCTTTCATGTATGGTTAATGCTCATAATGTGTTTATGAATTATGCTCTAGAAAAACTCAATAATTAAAGAAATTTGCTAATTTGTATCGAATAAATATATTGTAAACTCAATAGGATGGCCCTAGTAGACACTAGTGAGAAGATTAATATGAAATCTTATTCTCAAACTTTGTTGCTGCCGTTACACAAAAAGGCATGCATATATTAGTAAATTTATTCACTTTTATAACAATTATTTAAAATTATTTTAAGAAAGATTTTCTATTAGTTGGAAGTGTAATTACTTGATAAAATTACTCAGACAACCCAGTCTAATTCTTTCTCAAAACTATGATCTAATTTTTTTCATTTGAACATTATTACACAATGTTCTTTTGTAAGCAAAATATATATTCATAATTATTAAACATTGGTCTCTTACAAGATAAACAGCTTCTCTTGCTGCTAGAGTAAGTATATCAGCACATGACACAGTGGAGGGACAAGTCTTTTCCAAAGCAGACTTGATTGTGTCAATGACCTCAAATCCTCTGATTGAATTTTTATTAGGCAGTGCATTTTTCTCCCCTTTTAGAGTGTCAGTATCATCAAGTAGCACAGACGCATCACATCCCTGTGTAACACAAAAGATGAAAGAAGCAGCACATGTAGTCAATTTGGATCACAAAGTAATTAAAAAAATATCCCAACTAAAATTTGAGAGAGGTTATTTACAATGACGAAACAATCATGGAAATGAAGGCGCAATAGAGAAGCAGCAATTCTTGTGTCCTTGGTCATAGCTGACCAAACGTTGTCTCGAACAATTCGGGTCAGGTTTGGACAGGTTGTGTCATAGAAATTATAATAAAGTTGACAGCACACTAGAGGACTTAGGATCACAAGCCAAAACATTGAAATAAAAAGAAGCTTGTTAGAGATAAACTCCATTAGTTGAAACTACAATATGTCAAGAAGAGAAATAAGTTAACAACTCAATTAGAATTGCAAGTGACAATAAGTTGTAAAATGAAACCATATTTATAGCACATAAAAACACTTACTAGCTTAGTTTTTATGGAAAGTGGCAAAGCCACTATCCATGTCCCTATCAGTTAAGTTTGGTACAAGTCCAAATTGTCTGCTCTTATTGTTTGGGTATAACATGTCTGCATTTGGTTAATGGAGTGAAGAACTTGCTCAGTCCCACCCCATGAAATTAACAATTGCTCTAAGTGGCAAGATGATGTAGTGTGATAATATATCTCTCATAAAAAATTAACAGCTTCAAGGCTACATGAAGTAAAGACTGCATAGTTGACACATGACGTCTCCATATGAAGAATAACCATTAATCACTTTGAGATATCTCATATACATTGTGGGAGTAGGAGAAGAATTTTCAAAGAAGAAATTATAGAAATATACCGAAAGTGCGTGACCTTTGACTATGTTATGTGAATCTGGCATGTGGTGGATTATGTGTGTACAGTCATTATAAAAGCTGCCACAACATGAGATTATCAAATTTATATATTATCAAGTTTATATATGTTACTGCTATTATGTATGTCAGATATATGAGAGTACGTTGTTTAGTTTACAAAAGCTAGTCAAAACGTAAAATAAGCACTTTTATCTCTGAAACAGTATTGGATTTAAAAAATTTATTTCACTTGCAAATTTTATGCATGATTCTGTGATTCTCATTTTTGAGAGTTCACTCTTTCTTTGTCTGCTAATTCATTACGTTTAATCGTTAAATACTAAATACACAGGCAACGGGTGCATAACTATAAAACCGTACCGATAAATATGCTCTTAGAATAAGTTAATTTTAACATAATAAAGATATTATTTTCTAATTCTATTAATTGCCAAGTGCGTTAGTTGCATGCTAAATTGATGGAAATGGATAAAATAAACAGTACTGCTAAATAGTAAATACTATTACTCTGTGAATGACTATTTTTTTAAAAAAATTAAATTAATTACTTTTGGTGAGATCATCTCTCATGCTTTCAATTATGAATATTTCACATCAAAATTATGAGTAAAAAAACATCAAATAAAATACACGTAATACTTATAAATATCATTAGCTATCGCTTTAGCTTATGTTTAGTAAAGAGAAAAGAAATGAAGAGAAGAAAAAAAAAAGAAGAGAAGTATAAGAAAATAAATAAGAAATAGAATAAAAATTACTTGAGTATAGATGGAGGAGGGTTCATCCAATACTCAAAAACAAAGGAGGACAAGACCCCAGCTTTGCTATGGCATCTGCACTGCAATTATGATCTCTATCAATCCATAAAAAATTCACAGACCAAAGAAAAATAATTATTTGTTTGATTATTATTATTATTATTATTAAATAGAAATAGAGTGAAAGTTTAATTTTTATAAATAATTTTATTTGAAAATAATAAGTAAAAACAATTATTATTATTATTATATTTATTTATTTATTATTACTATTGAAAGTTTGCTTTTTTATAAGTAATTTTATTTATAAATAATGTACTATTATTATATTTTTGGAAATTATTATTTTTAAAACAAAAAATATATATAATTTTTCACTTGAAAATATTCAATTATTATTATTATTATTAGATTATATTTATTATTTTTATATATAAACACAACTTCCACACACTAATGAGGAGAAGTTTTTTACTATGTGACCCACCAAAACTCCCTCCCATTTCCCTCTAATTCTTCTTTACCAAATATAATGACTTTTTTAATGTCCTCACACTTTTCTACTCTTCTCTTTTACCAAACAAGTCATTAAAATAAAATAAAAAATTCATAAGCTAAACTTAATTTATATAAGTTTAAAATATATATGTTAGATAAGTTAATATCAAAAATTTTCCAAATCAATTTATACACAAGTTAATTTTAATTTTTAGAAAAATATTTATTTTCTTATATTATGAAGAAATTTATCCGATCATAACTTAAATATTCAAATATATTATCTTTGGATATACACCAATGGAGAATTAAAACAAAAAATTTGAGTGATTTGAATTTATTGGCATAAAATAAATTGATCTACTCATGCACGCAAAATACTAGATAATGATGTACTAAGTTGGGATGGGAGTAGTAAATTGGATTGGGCCAATCGATTTCTTATCCTGGACGCACTGAAACAAATATATTTAATATTTTAGTGTTTGATTTCCGACCTGGACTCCAGTGAAGAATAGTGGACCTTATCTTAATTAAATTGAATTCTTCTATTCCTTATTAATGAAGCCCTACCCTTTATTAGGCTTACCCCAGGATATGTTCTCCTTCTATATCCTTGAATGAGAATAATCATTTGCTTCAATTTATTTGTAAGTTCTCAACCTGGTGAATGTTGATCTATATAAAATATAAAAAAAAATTATTTTATACATCATATTTTCTTGGTGAATTTTAATATAATATAATTTATATATTTAAAAAATATTTATTATTATAAATTGTATCTATATAAAATAAAATAAAAATTATTTTATACATCATAAAAAAATCTTCACTCTAACTTTTTTAGCATGACAGGAGATTAATTTTGATTATGAATTTTATAACATGAAACATGTCTATAAAACAAACACTTATTCATAAGATCGAATTAGTAATAAAGATTAGAATAATATGTTCATTGATTTTTCGGTTTTAATATTATTCTTTCCATTTTTTTATAGTTGTTTTGATACTACTTTTAGTTTTTTTTTTTCTAAAATCAATAATTTATTAATTTTTTTATTTTTAATCTTAATAATTAATATATATTTATTGAATAATGTGTCTATTTATTTTTATGTATTTATTTTTTTCCAATCACGTAAAAGGTACAATAAAAAAATAAGTAATAAATATTTTAAAAAATTAAAATATTAATTATTTTCTTAATTCTTGTACATAAACTTTAAACATTAAAAATAAAACAGAAAGAGTATATTCCTATAATTTTAATAGATAAAAAAAAATTCATTCATAATTGTGACAGGGAACTGATTAGTCAGAGTATAAGTTCAAAATTTGGCTTAGAACTGCAGTATTTTGGTACTTGAGCAACATGTTAAAGGGGGAAAAGAAGGAGTTTTGCAGGCCCACACTACTAGTAAAAAGAACCATGGAAATTCCCAACGCGATTTGGATAGGAACAGGATAAACTCAAATTCAGTTGGTAAAAGGCACCCCAAAAGACAGAAAGGGAGAATGTTCTATTAGTCTCAATAATTAAAAAGCACAACTTTTTCTTAATTAATTCTGATCATACAGCAATTCTCTGATAAAGGGGGAGAGGGAAGAAGGGACATATAGATAGATACCCTTGTCCCCATCCATGACTACATATTTTTAATTTCTAATAATTTAACAAAAGTTACAGCACAAGAAATCCAAGAGACCCTGTGTACAATCATACCAGCAAGAGCAACTACATCTCCAGAAAACAAAACATAAGTTAGAGAATCAAATCAGACATAAAATTCACAAAGCTATTGAAGAAAGAAAAGAATATTAGATTACCACTCGTTGATGACCTTGTCTTGTGTATCATCAGCAGCTTGGTATTCCGTGCCAGAAATTTCAATGGACTGTGATGAAGGAGGTTCCATAGCCTTTTCACTTTTTCTCCTCTCTCTTGCACTATACGCCTATGACAAGTAAAATTGGGCACTGATAGAGAAATCAATGCTACAAATAAATGCACGTGAAGGCACCACGACGCAAAAGACAAACGAATCAAATGCCAATCTTAATACTATATGATACCCAAGCCCAAATCCATTTCTATGATACTAGTATCAAACAAAAATGCTAGTAATATTTCCTACTGATTTTTAATTAAGATCCTATTTAAATTGTTTATCGCAATTCATTTTTTACTCTTGAGTGAACATTTTAATAACTGCATAATCTCTAATATTCAGCTTCCTTCCAGTGTATAGGTACACTCAATTATTTACATGCTGTGAATATGTTATTTTAATGGAAATTTATGCTTTTTAATCATATTCAATGATTTTAATTAATTTTAGTAATGCATGAAAATAAAAAAGAATAAATTACAAAAAAAAAATGAATAAATAATTATGTTGATGAACAAATTTGGAAAAACAAAGTAAGAAACGTAGTAGCTCGTGACTTTGACTTTGATGTTGTTCCCACAGTCTGCGGAACAAGAGGCCGTAAAACAGGGAATGAAAGTAAGTTATTCTTTACGTTACTTTGGTCCCATATTTATATATATATATAT